TCACAGCAAACCACGTGTGGGGAGCAGAGTGGCGCTTTGCAGAATTGCACAGCTTCTTCGGAGAGTGAACCTTTTCTGACCCGTGGCCCCAGACGTCATGGGGTGGGGCTGAATTCCCACGGAGGGCTTTACCTGCCACCGTGCTGCGGGAGGGGCCCGGTGATGGGCCTGGGTGCAGGGAGCAGAAACCACATGATTAAAAGCTACTGTTGTGCATTTTGCAGGGCGGGGTGGGCATCCAGGCTGGAGAAGTTGCGAGGATGTGCTTGGATTGGCACGGGGCAGGGCAGGGGGCGGGGGCGGGGGCAGGGAAGCTGCTCAGAGCTCAGCCCAGCCGGGACCCCTTACGCCTGGCCTCTCCAGTCCTGCTCTCCCGCGTGGAAGGCATTTCATTTCCCAAAATACTGACAGTGAGTTTTATGCACCTCCACCCAGGTGTGCCCTCCATACTGAGTGGAACACCTGTGTCCCCTGCTGCAAGGACTCAAAAAGTGCCGCTCCTCGCCCGCAGGTACGGGATCCCCGGCCAGTCTGGCCTGGTTGGGTCTCTGCCACAGCGACGGCATCAGGCCTTCCCCGGACATAGTGCTAACCCGAGGGGCGCGGACGCCCAGGCCCCGTTACAGTGCACTCGGGGAACACCTGACCCGCCGCTGGGCCCCGGGGAGGCACTGCCCAGGGACATTGCCTCTGCTGAGCATAAATATCGGGGTGAAGTGCATGAAACTGACAGGGGAGCATAGGTCAAAAGTGGCTGATTACCATTAAAAATGTTGAACATAAGCAGTTGCATGCAATTCTACCTCATAGCATGAATCCTGTACTTTTTATCGTGTTTTCGAAAAGCACTTGGCTGATCAGCGATTTTTAAGCGGGGAGAGGGGTGGAGATGGATGGTAGCCACAGGCGGTGAGGCCGATGGTGTGGGGCCCCCGCTGTAATGTGCCGGCTGGGGCGGTGGGTCTCACTGGTGCTGGAGGAGGGACCGGGAGCGTGCGGCCCCGTGTGTTGTGGAGTTCATGGTCGGGGGCGTTCACTGGAGCTTGCTCGGTACCGGCATGCCCTGCTGGGCACTTCCTCTTTATCCTTCTTTTAATCTGAAACAGTAAATCCATCTGATTGATGACACGAACTTGGGTGAAACCCTCAGGCCACTTCCCCAGGAAGGCAGCAGGCTTTACGGACTGGGACTCACCCCAGTGACCAGCCCACGTGGCCAGTTCAGCCGTTCGACAGTGTTTACTGAGCACCTACTGTGTCAGGAGAGCGCTGGGAGCGGGAAGATACAGTGGTGAGCAAAGCACCCTGACCCTCCCGCCTGGGTGGCCGGCTCTAGTGGGAGAGGCAGATAAAAATCAAAGGACCGGACGAAGGGTGGAAACAACCCAAGGGACCATGGACAGATGGAAGGGTGAACAAAATGTGGTCTATACCTGCAATGGAATATTGTTCAGCCTGAAGGGAAGGAAATTCCAACACGTGTTGCAACATGGATAACCTGTGAGGACATTATGCTCAGTGAAATAAGCCAAATACTGTGTATGTGTCAAAAGGACAAATACTGTATGATTCTACTTGTGTGAGGAACCTAGGGGAGTCAAATTCATATAGACACAAAGTAAAGAGGGGTCCCCAAGGGCTGCGGGGAGTGGGGAATGGGCAGTTGTTTAATAAGCAGGAATGTAAGTTTTGTAAGATAAAAAGTCTTCTAGAGATTGCACTCAATGGTGTGAATGTACTTTATACTACTGAACTGCACATTTAGAAATGGTTAAGATGGTAAATTGCATGTTATGTATAGCAACACAATTGATCATTTTTCAAAAGATTTATTTATTAATTGATTTTTAGAGAAAGGGGAAGGGAGGGAGAAAGGGAGAGAAACATCCATGCAAGAGAGAAACATCGATCAGTTGCCTCTTGCACACGCCCTGCCCGGGGCTCGAACCCACAACCCAGGCATGTGCCCTGATGGAGAATCGAACTGGCGACCTTTTGCTCTACGGACAACACCCAACCCACTGAGCCTCACCGGCCAGGACACAATTGGACATTTTTTAATTAAAAACGAAAGAGAGACAGACGCGTGCACACTCACAAGCTGGCGCGACAGTCCCAGCTCCCCAGGAAGAGCACGGAGGCTGCGACCTGAGGGCTCGCCAAGCGCTACCGATGTGCTTGGCCCTGTGGCCCCCCCGACACTGCTCTGTCGCGTTCCTTGGTCTCTGCTGATGAAAGCCACGCAAGAATGAAGAGCGAGCCACACCTCGGAGTCTCCCTCCGGCTCGCCCCATCCACTCCCTGGCCAGGCACCAGGGGAGTGTGCCCTCCACCCGAGGCAGCGTGCCCCAGGTGGCAGCGGGGTCCCCACCCTCCCCCTGCAGCGCCGAACCCTGGGCCTCCCCCAAGCCCACCGCCCCACGGGCACTGCCCCTGAGCAGGGTCCCCCGACCAGACCCTGGGTCCCACCAAGAAGTATGGTACAGGAGACATTTAGCACCCCAGTGGGGATTCACCTTTTTTTCCTGAGGGAAAAAGAATAAACCATCTGTCATCATCTGAAGGTACACACGTGCCTTGACCTGGCAGTTCCACTCCTGGGACGTTTCCTCAGGCGACAGCGGACACCCGTCTTTGTGCGCAGGGTGATGGTTGCGGCGCTGCTCAGAAGAGTGAAAAATTTGAAACAAATAATTTAAGTGTCTCTCAGTGTGGGACTCGTTTAATTAAGTTTAACCCAAACTGTGGCGCCGCTAAAGCATGAGGGTGGAGGCCATTCCTTATTAACACGGAACAGCTGCTAGGATATAGAATTAAGCAGGGGCAAAAACCGTTTGCATGTACATGAAGCTGTTCTTTAAAAAAAAAAAAAAAAAAAAAAGTGTATATATCCAGAAAATTCACAGCACAGTGTTAAACAGGGCTTCCTCTGTGCGGTAATATTATGAGGGACCTAAGGTTTCTTCATTTTACTGTTCTGTTATTGTCCTGATGTCATGATCTATGTATGTATTTCTCATCTGTGGGGGGAAGACAAGGACTTTCCATGGCGCGGTGGCGGAGGCAGCGTGGTGCAGATCCTAAGCCGGCCCGGCCCCACCATTCACACGTGGTTCACAAGGACTTGCTTCCTGTGGTCCCCGCCCCGCTCCCAGGTGGCCCAGCCGGTGCTGGACGGCAGGAGGCTGGCGAGCTCAGGCCAGGGCAGGCAAGGCCAGCACTGCCGGATGAGTGAGCCTTGGCTTAGCAGAGGGAGGCGGAGCGAGCCCCATCGTCACCTCCGGCATCTGACAGGGACAGGGTGGCCTGGGCAGCTGCTGCTTCTGTTAGTTTTCTCGCCCTCTGTGGTACTTCCTCCCCTCTAGGCATCCAGACTGCGTGGACACGCTTAGTGTCCACGGTGAGAACCCACTCAGCTACAACTCAGTGAGCTTTGACTTCGTATCTGTAAACGTATGGGGCGAGACTCTGGACTCTGATGTGGAGTGGTGGGTTAGTCTTGCGCACTTTGCTTCATGTGCCCGAGCCTTGGTTTTTCCATCTGGAAAGTGGGAATAATAGCGCTTCCTCAAAGACTGTTACACCAGATGCCTCCAGGAACGGGAGGGGGGACTTTTTAATTGTGTACCTTGTGAATTTGGGATCATGTGTGTGTGTTATCCATTCAAAGAAATAGTGCTGTGTGGTAGGAGGGCTGTGAGAGGGTCAGAAAGGGTGTCCTGAGGAGGCTCCGCGAAGCATCCATCCCCTCAGGCGGCCCTTCTGCGGAGGGTCGCTGGGAGGGCGGGGTGAGTGACTCATACCAGGGACAGGGTTTGGGCTCTGGTCCTGCGCCTAGCGCTCTGGAGTATAAAGAGGTGACCACTGGCCACGTGAAAAAACAGAGGCCCATCACTCAACGAGTGACCAGTCAGTGCTGTACAGCTACGTGCGGAGTTCACGTAGACCCACAAGTAGGCGGAGTTTCTCTAGGAAAACTTGCCGGGTCGGTTCCCGGTGGGAGGCGCTGTATGTTCTTTCTCGCTCCTGGGGAACCCTGAGCGCGCTGGCATATTAAGGGCTCTGAGAAGGACCACAGTAACAGAGCTGGGTTTACCCTAGTGCTTCCCAGTGTGTATCCTCAGGAATGCTTTTGTTTCTTTTTCATTTTGTTTTTGAGTAGCCTCTGTTAACAGCCCACAGAACTGGCGGGGCGCAGAGGAAGTTTGAGGAGTGGGAAACGCTGTCCTGGAGGAAATCAGGGCAGACGCTGGCCTTCTGAGTTTACCTTCCCCGCTTTGAGCAGCGGGCTTGGTCCACTGATTGTAACGTTGTCAACGTTCGTCAGATGAGTGGAGAGGGGAGGCAGTGACAATCATGAGCATCTCGTTTGTCGAGTGGCTGCTCTGTGCCCTGCACTGGGCCGTGGGCTGACGTTCATTTGCAAGTCCTCATAACCACCCTGTGAGACAGACACTGATCCTACAGCCGCCTACAGGTGATGACACTGAGGGTCAGGGTGTGTCCCCAGCTCTCTGCTGCTGGGAGACAGACCCAGGATTCAAACCTCCAAGGCCTCCCCTTCCCTGAAGAGGTCACGTTGTTCCTACACACATTCCCAGTCCTACTAGAGACCGCAAGTGTATTTCCTCGCCGGAGGAGAGGTGAGGGAGCATACGGTGTTGCTGAAGTAGGGGCTGAGTTCAGGGGCCTTGTCCCAGCTGCTGTTCTGATTCTACGCTGTGGCTTGCTCTGAGATTTGGCCCTCTCTGAGGCTGCTGCAGATTGTCTCAGCCCGAGTCGCTCTCCAGACAGCTTCCAGCACTGTGCGTGGCCCAGCCCACCCCTTCCCCCCACCCCTCCAGAGTCTCAAGAGGAAGGGGCAGGCAGGAGGGATGCAGGTGGCATCTATTGAACCCTTCCCAACTTTGCACCAGGAAGGGAGGGTGGGCCTGCGTGGGCGTGGGGTGCCAGGGGCTGTTCTGCGTCCCGCGCTCTAAGCAGGTATCTCCCCTGCTCAGGTCTGGAAGAGGTCAGGGGCCTGGTTCTACAAAGGGCTGCCCAAGTACATCCTGCCCCTGAAGACCCCCGGCCGGGCCGATGACCCCCACTTACGACCTTTGCCTGTGGAGCCGACTGAGCAAGGGGCAAGAAGCACTGAGACCAGTCGAGTCTACACATGGGCCCGTGGGAGAGGTAAGTGCCCTTTGCCCCCTCTGTTGGGATAGCAACTGACATTCGGGCCACCAGCCAGCCAGTGCCACGGGCACGGGACCAATGGCCACCGCAGTGTCCACATGTGTTCATACGGGTGTTCCATCCCTCTCCGTGCCCACGACTCCTCACCTGCACCCACGTGGGTGGCTAGACCTCAGCACAGGGATTGCTCACAGCCCGCGGGGACCATTCCACACACAAGCTCTAAGTGGGGGGTGGGGAATGCCACGAACAGCGCTGTGGATCTTTGCGGAAATGTGACGTCAGTTGAGGTATTTTGCAAAGTATGAAATTGTGTCTCCGAGGCAGGCAGGTACCATCTCTTCTTAGCACTTGACTTGTTTCTCAGTAAGGAGAGGCTTTTGGCTTTCCTGGTCCTAAGGAGGAAAGGGACCTTGTGCCCAGGGCACCTTGGTATTTGTGGTGGCTGCGCTGATGTGGAAGCCTTCCAGGAGGCCACCATCAGAAGGGGAGGCCCACCCCATTGGTCATTACCATATTTTGCCATGTATAATGTGCACCCATGCTTGTGTGCATTATACACGGGATTTTGATGCCCATTATTATATCCATGGTATGTAATCATTATACCCTTGTATAATGTGCATCCTTATTTTTCCCTCAAAAATTTGGGCAAAAAAGTGTGCATTATGCACAGCAAAATACGGTATATGTAAAAGTACCTGGGCATGGCAGATTTCTCTACACAGCTTACAAGATGCCTTAATGTTTATGATTTTATTGTCAAAGTTCCTGGGTCTCACAGAAGCCTCCAAAAGTAAACAGGCCGGCCGGTATTTAGCAGCCCTGTTTTATAGATGAGTAGCCTGAGGCCCAGGGAAAAGGAAGGGCTTCCTGGTGGGTGCAGGGCTGAGGCGGAAAGGCCGGGTCCTGCCCTCTGGGCTCTGGCTCCTTCTGCCTGGAAGAGCCTGAGTTTCAGCGCAAGACTCAGGGGCTGAGGGTCCTAAGTGAGTTGAGGCCAGAGAGCGGAGCAGTTCATCTTGGTACCAGGGGTTTTCTTGGGTTTCCTGACCAAAGAAAACAGACACACAGCTGTTCGGAGGGCTCACGGGCGTCTGTCTTTGGATTATGACCTGGCTGCTAACTATCTTTGTACGATTTGGGCTGTTTTTTTCCTCCTTACAGAAGTGCAGCATGTTTATTATAAAATTGTGAAGGTTATCGAAAGCTATCATTTAGCTGGTAAAAATTCCCTGTGCATCGGCCCTTCCAAGCATAACTGGCAGTTAACAGCTTGGCGTCTGTTCCCCAGACACCTTTTCCCGGCCCTCACTTGGCTCTTCCTGCAGCAGGCTGTCCCCGCTAGTCCTGCTGGACTCTGCTTGCACTTCTGATTCCCAGAGTTTACCTTCCCTGCCATCGCTGCCCCTTGCAGGGCTCTCTCGCAGGGCGTGGGGGACTGGGCAGGCGGAGCCGGGAAGCAGACCTGGCCGGGCCTGGCCTGAGCGGGGCGCTGTGGCTGGCGGCCTTGGAGGGAGCCTGGGAGTGTGTTGTGGAAGTGGCTCCCTCTTCCCTTCTTTCCTGTTTCTACACTTGGCGCTGGGTCTTTCCCCAGTGCCAGCCCTGCCAGGGTGGGCCAGGGTCCCCCAGACTGAGAGGAGAGACGCCACTGTGGAAACCAGCTGCTGAGCCCTGTCGGCTTTAAAATGTTGCTTCAAGTGCGTCGAGGAGGGGAAGCTGTGAGGTGCCACCCAGAGGGGCCCTCCCTGCCCTGTCTGCTCCAGCAGCAGCATGGCACACACATGCGCACACATGTACACACGTGTGCACACACAGTGCGTCTCTTCCCCAGCCACACAGGCACAGGAGGCCTTTTAATCATGTGAGCAAGGAGGCCAGGGACCCACACACTCAGAGTGGGCAGCGTTTATTAACCAAGTCTGCACTGCGGCCAGGCCGTGGGGAGGCCCCTCGTGTGACCTCGATCTCCGTCCGCACACCAGGTTGGAAGCCCCCCTTCCCCGCCACCACCTCCTGCAGCACCGTGCCAGGCACATTGCAGCCCAGCAGTAATCTGCAGGCTCTTGCTGAGCAGTAGGAGGTGGCCCTTCTGTTCGACAGGTGACCTACGGGTCTTGCCCAGGGTCAGCGGGACAGTGAGGGCAGGTTGCGGAGCTGGTGGCGGGAGCGGCAGGGGGAAGGCAGGGAGGCTCCGTGCCATAGAAGCCAAAGCGTCAGGGCTCTGCCAGGAAGGGCACCAGAGAGCCGCCAACAGCCAACTGTTCTGACCTGCTTCTCAGCCTGATCCTGGGTGGCCGTACCTGTCCTCTCTGATGAGCCTGCGCAGAAGCCAGGGCCTGCACTTTCTGGTTGCATTTGGGTCCCCTGGCCATCCCAGACCTGGCTATGCACTCACAGAGGTCCTCGGGTGGCTGCCGGACACTCGTGGGAGGCCAGAGGCCTGGGCCAGCTGAAACCATCCTCACAGCTGGTCCTGCCTGAGTCCGGGAGCACGGGGGGAACCCCCTGCAAGGTCAGCACAGACTGGCCCTTCTGTGGCACGTAGCTTCAAGGTCAAGTCTGTGGCTGGAAGGACTCCACCGTGTCCAAGCTTCCAGGAGCTGCTGCCTCCATCCGATTCCTGCTGAGGTTGGTCTCCATGAGGCTGGCAGGTTCCCAGCAGCAGGGGGCCCCCAGTGAGCAGCCTTGGGATCGTGGCACAGAGATGTCACCACGCCTTTCCAGACCACTGCCGACTGGGGAACCAGTTGGTGTTTTTTTACCTTTTAAAGCGGTTCCCCTCTCCATCCCAAGCCCCACCATCAGCAGTGCCCAGGTGCCAGGCAGCTGGCTGGAGTCAGACATGCAGTGTGTGGTCCATGCCAAAGCTGGTCTGGTAAGCCTGAGCCACATTATCATCCCATTCGGCTAAAACCAAGCTTGAGGCCGGGGGCGGGGGTTGAGGGCGGTTGCAGCACAGGACAGGGACCAGCCTTGGGGTGGATTCTCCCCCCACCACCTGAAAGCTGCCTCTGGGCAAGGCCATGGCTATCCTGAGCAGGCTGATTTGTCAGCGTGTAGCATGGGACAGGCAGAGGATAGACGCTTATTAGATGAACCACCCACCTGCTCCAGGGTATCTGAAAACCTACAGAGGGGTTTCGCGAGGGCCTGCAGGCTTCTCTAGGTCAGGAGTCCGCTGGACAGCCCAGGGAACCCTCAGAGAACGTTAAAATCACCCCACTCTCCTGAGGAGTCTCAGCCCAGGCTGCTGCCTGCAGGGGCCCAGGGCCAGCACCCATCTTCTGCCCCCAGGTCCCTGCTCCCTGGCGTGGAAGCTGATCCTGAGAGCTGAGCACGCTGTCTGGCCCTCTTCCCCACCCCACCCCAGTCCCCGCTCCTCTATCTCTTTCCCCCTCCCTCCCCCAGCCCTTGGGATGGTGTACCTGTGGCTCCCAGCTTCCCCCGACTTCCAGCCCACCCTGCTTTCTTTCTCCTGACCTTTTGGAAGAGGAAAGATAATCAATAGATACAAGCCATGAACTTTTCAGTTCACAAAACCATCAAATGAAATGTATTGATGTTTCTGAGGCAGGTTCCTTTTCTTCCTCCTCTAAATTTTCTTTGTTAATTTTTAATTACATAACCATACATAATGTATTTTAATAAGTTAATTCAAAAGTATATGAAAAATTAAAATCTCTTCTCTTGCTGTCGTCTCCAAAACCCTTTCTTCCTGTTCCTACAGACATATACTTGATATTGGATTATTTTTTGTTTTGTTTTGCTTTTGTTTTAGTAACAGAAATAGGCTCTTACCCATAACTCTAAATGTTGCTTTTTCACTTAAAAGAATATCATGGGCATCCCTCCAGATCGATAGATATAGATTTCACTATTATTTTTAATGGCTGAATAAAAGCCCCTTATATACTATATTATTACTTAATTATTCACCTATTGCTGGATGTTCAAATTGTTTCTGGCTTTTCATATTGCAAACAATACTGAAACCTCCTTATATGTATATAATGCTTTTATTTCCATGGGGTAGGTTTCCAAAATTGCATGTTTTGAATTTCCATAGACATTGCCAAACTATATTCCAGAAATGTTACAGCCTTTTATACTCATGTATTCCTGCATCCTTGCCTGCCAAGAATAGTATTGGTATTTATCATTTTGGCAAGTGTGCTAGATGAAAAATGGTATTTTATTATTTTAATTTGTACATTTGCGGATCTCTTCATATCTTTGTTATTTATTCATTATTCGGGTCCTCTTTTAAAAATTACCTGTTTAAATCCATTTATTATTTTTTATTAAATTGTTTTCTCTTATTGATATGTTAGGAATACTAAGTTGGTTGCAAATATTTTTCTCCTTGACTTTACATTTTGTATAGTATTCTGCCTTTCAAAAATCGATTTTGCTGTTCAAAAACATTTTTTTCCTTAACTTTTGTGAAGTCAAGCATGTCTGTCTTTTGTGTTGTGGTTTCTAGGTTTCCTGTCTTGCTTTGAAACATCTTTCTCTCCAAGGTCAAAAATATCTGTTAAATGAAAACTTTAAGTAATATAAGAATAAAAGGAAATTACCTAAAATGATAAAATTACCAAAAAGAGAAAAAACTCTAACATCAAATAGCATATAAACTGGTAAAGCACTGAAGCCATGTTCTATCAAAATGCAAACCATACCCCATGATCCCCATCATTCAGCAGTATTTTATGGTATTTAACTAATTTAATAAGGCAAGAAAATAAGACAGCCCTGGCTGGTGTAGCCTAGTGGATTGAGGGCGGCCTGCAAACCGAGGGGTCACCAGTTCGATTCCCAGTCAGGGCACATGCCAGGGTTGTGGGCCAGGTCCCCAGTAGGGGGCGTGTGAGAGGCAACCACACATTGATGTTTCTCTCCCTCTCACTCTCCCTCCCTTTCCCTCTCTCTAAAAGTAAATAAAATCTTCTAATAAAAAAAGGAAAAGAAAATAATCTCTTACTATTAGAAAAGAGAAG